AGCGCGCCCAGACACGCCCTTAATTAACCAAAATAAATTACATCTTTATTAATAACAAATTAATTATTAAACAAAAATATTAAATATAAACTAAGCAAACGTGCATTGCACGTTGCTTGCACCTAGTATTTAGATAAAAGGATTAGTTTGTTCGCAAACTTTAAATGCAGCATTGAAAAGTCTTTACAAAACCCATAAAAATATACAAGTGGAATTACCAATATCAAGCAATAATCTAGGGACGCCATCATTGAGCAATGCAAGAAGCTCCAGTGCTCTCTCCGAAAGTTTCGCCTTTTAGAACCCCACCAAAAAATACAGTTAATCACGGAGATAGGCACAGAATTACACTTCTGTGCACGTACGTAAATTTGTTACCTGAATCTCAATAATACGAGAAGAGGAAGTGTATTTACGAGCTTCATCGTCGTTGTAGAATATCTCCGGCGGTGCCTGCAGCTCCGGTCTTGACGTCATCTTCCTTTATCTTGATAAAGTAGCAAGTAAAACTATCAACTTGAGAAAAACCCTTGGCCGCTTGTCTGCTGTCTCCCTTCCGTTGCTCTATGAATAGGATTTTAAAACGGACCTGGGTTATAGTTGGACTTGGATATGCCTTGTTTTTAATTGGGCCTTAGAGGATATTTGCCGGGTATAATTACTAAAAATCAACTGTTTAGTTTCAACTTTATGAAAATTAAGTTTTATCTTTATTTAATTAAAAATCAGGTTTTATCTTTTTAAATTAATAATGATATTATAAAATTAAAATAACATATATACCCACCATATCCCCCACCAAATTTATTTTAAATATAAAATCTAAATCTATCCAAACCCTAACATATCCAATTCATTCCTCACCTCTGTGACATCGAAATCGGAGCAGTTACTGAAATTAAGCAGCGTCAAACGGTCACTGGAATAGTCGCCAGAATTAATTGCACCCGGAGAACAATCGCTGGAGTAGTCGCCGACCACCGTAGTCACCGGAACAGTAGGGTGGTGGAGGAGAAGTGGGATGGGATGTGTCAATTATATTATATTACGGTTAAATATTTAATTTAATATAATAATTGTAAATTATAATTAATTAATTCATATAAAAACCTAATTTTTGCAATTTTAAAATTTGAGGTCTGATTTTTTATTTCATGATAGATAATACTTGATCCATGAATTTTTCCCTATTTTCCGTCCGGAAAATTATGTAAAAGCCTCATGGTCCGTTTGATTGATTTAAATTTCAAGAAAAATGTTACATTCGGAAAATTCAATTTCTAATTTAGCTGTTTGATACGAAAATGAAAATTGAGTTTGAATTTTAAGGTACAACCACTTTAAGCTTTTTTTTTTACGATTTCATGGAAAATACATTCTTATGGGGTATTTGAGTTTTTATTTTCCAAGTAACACGAAATTGGAAAGTCTTTCCACATTTATTAATCAAACAGATCATAAGACTAATTTTCATGAACAATGAGGATTATTTATGAAATAGTGGAGGGGAGTAGTGATAGTTTTCATAAGACTAATTTTCATAAACAATTAGGTGCTAATTAATAATTATTCTTTCTTATCCACTGTGCTTCCTCTTGTTCATAAAGGCGAGATTAAGCAAGAAAAAATGACAAAGGTTGTTGGGTTTTTGATCCAAACAGTGGAGGGGAGTAGCGATAGTTTGGGGACTTCAAGCGTCGGTGCAACGGTGAAATATGTGGGTAAAACTATCTTTTTGTTCTTTGAGACGAGTTTATTACATTTTGTTTTTAATTACTTATATAATCTTAAGGGGAAAAAGACTTACTATGTGCTCTATGAAATGAAAAAAAGCAAATAAAATCAGTGGTTTTATGTTGAGTACAAGTTATGCTGGTTGATTAGTTTCTATTGGCTCGTCGTATTTTGATTAAAATGAAAAAATTCGTGTGTTTGGACACAAATTCATTATCGTGGATTTGAGTTGAAGGTGGTAGATGTGGTGCATTAGAGGTAACGGTGGTAGATTATAGTGTTGGCTTGCATTATGTGAAGATATGTTTGTGCTAACCCTCTGTGACTAGTATGTGCTTATGATAACTGATTGTAACCAATTACGCGTTAATTATAATTGATTGTGATTTGATCACATATCGTCACAGTTAGTGTTGTCAATGGACCGAGCCGAGCCGGCTGGGCCCTTTAAGCCACGAGCTCGGCTCGGGCTCGTGGGCGAGCTTGGCTCGGCCCGCTAGCTCACGAGCCGGCTCGGCTCGTGGCTCGTCAAATTTTTTTTTTTTTTTTGTTTTTTTTAGTTTTTTTTTTTT